CACCCAGACCCCTGGAAAGCCCCGCTGGGCCTATGGTACTCTTGGCATATTGAATGCAAGGAAGAAGGGGAGTTTATCTACTCTGGCTTTAGCCATATGCCATGAACATATTTGCTTTTAAATTAAATTCATAAAATATGAATGTAATCATACCAAAACAGTAGAGTTGTGAGCACATCAGTCAGGAGTTATATTTATCCTGTATATTTGTTTTCTGTTTGTCTCCATGTATTACTAGACAGTACACGGAAACAGGCACTTCTGTCTCTATTGACGTGGCAGAACTGAACTGATGTTTCTGTAATCTGTGGTGAGGTAGCCTTGTGAGTGACAGAGCTGTATGAATAACAATAAGGAAGCCTGCAGAACAATAGAAGGATGACAAACATTTCAGTAGGGGGTGGGAAATGCATATGATGGTTAAGTTGGCACACAAGTTAATCTGAGACTTTCCTAACAAAAATTAACAGTTTGCAAATGGGTGAGATGATGTTCACAACTCTAAAACCATTTGCATAAGAAATCGAATTTTCCAGTCATAAAGAGCATTCTTGACCACAGTGCTTCAATTCAGCAATGTAGGATGACAGACTGTCAGGAGCTTTAAGTTCTCCTAGGTGGAAAAGGAAATCCTACACCCCTTACCTGCACAGAGCCTGGCATATAGCAGGATTATAACAAATGTTTGTGGAATGTGAGAATGAATGCCTGGCTCAGGGAATTGTGTGTCTGCATGTTTTGAACAGAAGGGAGAAAGCTTACCTATCTGTTCTGTCTTTTCATCCTTTGAGCTAAATGTCATTATTTGTCCCTCCGCTTGTAGGGTTGCTAGGAGTCAGCTTCAACTCAATGGCAGTGGGTTCAATTCTGGGTTACCTACGGGGACACTGAGTTGTGATTTTGGAAAAGAGCACTGAATATCCCATAGGCTGCCAAAATAACAAAAAGTGCAGCCAAAGTGCTCCTAGGAGGCAAGGGTGGTGAAGCTTCATCTCACATACTTTGCGCATGTTGTTCCTTGCAAAGAGAAGGTGAAGAGTCAGAGAAGACCTTCAAGAATGTGGATTGACACAGTGGCTGCCACAATGGGCTCTAGTGTGTCAGAGATGATGGAGATGGCAGAGAGTAGGACAGGGTTCAGATCTATTGTTCAGAGGGTCACTACGAGTAGTGCTTGATGGCATCTGATAACAACAGACATTGAGAGGAGCTCTAGTAGAATAGTCTGTAGGGAGTTGCACTACTGACCCAAAGGACATGCTCTTTGGAAGTTCGAATCCACCAGGAGCTCCTTAAAAGAAAAATGGGTAGTCTCCTCTTGTGTGATTTACAGCCTCCAAAAATCCACTAGAGGGTCAGCTTTATGTCACTTCCACCTTGACAACAATGAGTTCGGCATTGGTTTGTTGTTTTTTGTTGGGTTTTTTTTTTGGTGTTTTGTGTTTTTTTTACAGGGATATTGAAGCACAGATATATTAAGAAACTCCTCAAATGTGTGAAACACAATGTATATGAATGAAACACAATGTGTACGAATTTTGTATGCAAACAAATATAAAATAGACATTTTAGAAAAAGAAACTACCCTCAGGGTTACATACATACTAGAGGAGCAGAGAGCCACAAGGAGGGAGAGATTTTGTGTATGTGTATTTGTGTGTACATGTACACACGTGCATGTTGGGGGGTGACACATGAAGAGCTAAAATGCATATGCTTTCAGAAACATGAAAATGTGTCTTAGAAGAATAGTTTTCCTCTCCAAACGTTCCTACTGTCTTGGTAGCTCAGTATGAGAGCAGGAGATAGGACAGGAATGTTCTAGATTTCTTAGGCTAGCTCTGCAGTGAAGTTTCGGAGGCTATCAGTCTTAATGGAATAGACTGTGCGTCTTTCTGTCATCGAGTGGCTGGTGGACTTAAGTGGATCAGTCAGCATTACGGACTGCACCACCAGAGCTCCTTTTGCTTTGGGATACCTATCTTAGTATTTTCTAAGTCCACCTCCAGTACCTAAGTGTAGGTGGACAGGCAATGTCATTAAGGAAGTTGCCGACATCCAGACCAGACCCTCCATGGATTCTGGTTGCTTTAAAATGTCCTATTTCTTTCCAGTGCATGAGAACCGTCAAAGCTTGCAGTGTTCTCTGTGTGAGAAGCCCCAGTCCTAAGCAGAACCTACATGGGCCCCAGTATCCATTTCCCCCTTCAGGGTATTCTGTAATCTACCTGCCCAACAATCTCCCTAATACAGGCACACACACACACCAAGGATAGACTAGATGTCCTCAGAAACTTCAGGATTCATGTCTATGTGGTCCTCCCAAAATCCTGGCTTCAGGAGGGTAACTTAGTAAATAAACTACTTTAACTACCTGCTAGGGTGTTTCTCTCATGGTATCCTGTGAGAGTTTACCGCCAGAGTGGTACTGATGCTAATTTTCAGTGAATCAAATTATGTATATATGTAGAAACCCTACAGAAAAATTTAGGAGACTCCCTACACATTTTAGAGGCATCTCAAAATAAAATGGTCGGAGGGTGGCACAAAAGAAAACATCCTTGCCAATAGGACACAAGCCTTGAGACATAAGAATTAAGAAAGAACTAGAATTATCTGGAAAAGCTTCTTCAAGGAGGAGGACTTAAGCCAGGCCTTGGAACATGGGGAGAACGTGGAGAGAGTCAGACAAGGAGAACAGCCTGAACAAAGGTGAGTTGTTATTTATTGAGCATTTTTGTGCTATGTACTGTGCTGAGCACCTAACAGTCATCATTTTGTTTAGTCCTCGCAACTTCCTGTGAGGTTGTTGTTGTTGTTATCAGGTGCCATCAAGTTGAGTCCAACCCAGAGCAGCCCTATTAACAACAGATCTGAACGCTGTTCTGTCCTGTGCCATCTTACACTTCCTGACACATTACAGCCCATTGCAGCAGTCCCCATGTCAGTCTTCCTCTCCTTGGTCGACCCTCTACCTTTCTGAGCTTTATGTCTTCTCCAAGGAACTCTCTCCTAGCAACATGCCAAAGTTTTATGCCAAAATTTTAATCTGCATCATCTTTGCCTCCATAAAGCACTCTGGCTGCACCTTCTTCAAGACATATTTGTTCTTCTGGCAGTCCATGAGATATTTAGCGCTCTTCTCCAACACCACAGGTCAAAGGCATCAATTCTTCTTCTGTCATCCTTATTCATTCTCCAGCTCTTAGATGCATAGCAAGTGGTTGGAAAGACTATGGTCTAAATCAGATGAACCTTAGTCCTCAAACTGACATCATTGCTCCTGAATTATTTGGAGAAATCCCTAACTCAAGTTTTTCCCAGTGCAGTACATCTCCTAATTTCCTGACTGTTGGTACCAATGGTGTTAATTGTGGATTCAAGTAAGATGAACCTGTTGACAGTTTCAGTCTCCTCTCCATCCATCATAATGTTGCCTATCAATCCAGTGGTAAGAATCTGTTTTCTTGACATTGAGATGCAATCCATATTGAAGGCTGTATTCTTTGATCTTCTACAAGTGCTCCATGTCCTCCTGACTTTGAGCAGGCAAGATTGTGTCATCTGTATAATGCAGGTTATTGATGTCTCACTTCAGAGTTCACCTCAAATAATTTGCTCAGTATACATATTCAATAGGTATGGAAAGAGATTACAACCCTGATGCACTCCCTTCTTCGTGTTAACACATAGTGTTCCCTTGCTTTGTTTGCACATCAGCTTCTTGGTATAGGTATAGGTTTCACATGAGCACAATTAAGTGCTCTGGGATTCTCATTCTTCTCAATGTTAGCTATAACTTGTTATGATCCACACAGTCAAATGCCTTTACATAGGCAATAAAGCACAAATATACATTCTTCTGGTATTCTCTGCTTTCAGCCAGAATCTATCTGACATCATTACTGATATCCCTGACACCAAGGCCTCTTCTAAGTCCTGCTTGAACTTCTGGCAGTTCCCTATATATGTACTGTTTTAGCCAGTTTTTAATGATCTTCAGCAGTATTTTGGTTGAATGTGACATTAAAGATATTGTTCAATGGTTTCCACATTCTGTTGGATCATCTTTCTTGGAAGTGGGAACAAATATGGACCTCTTCCAGTCCATTGGCCAGACAGCTGTATGAACCGTATTTTGATGATAAGGAAATGCAGGGGTAAGAAGGTTCTTCCAGGTCAGCAAAGGGTAAGACTAAGACTTACGTCAACAACTATGTACTGTTTAATGCTGTATTATTACAAAGAGTTGGACCCTTGTCTGAGTGGATCAGAGAATGTTGAAAGCTAGTACAAGGTTAACCCAACAGACAAAACATGATCATATTATAAAGGTCTTAGAAAAAAGCTCAGAAATAAAAGTACATCCCCAAAAAAGAAAAAAAAAGGATATGAAAAAGAGATACAAGGGTTTAAATAAACGCTTGGTCACACAAAACAGAGAGCAGCATCCCAAAAGGAAAATGCACAATAATATAACATTTAATATTAATAAAAATATTAACATCATGCTTAGAAGAGTAAAGGGTCAGCACGGGAGAGGAAGACCCTGGATGAGATGGACTAACCATGAATGTGGCCATGGGGTCAGGTGTATCAGAGACAATGAGGTTGGCTCAGGATAGGGCAAGGTTCAGAACCGTTATTCACAGGGTCACTGTAAGTCGTAGTCAACACGGCAGCACATAAAAACAACATTTAACACTGGGACATGCTAAGTGTCATGATTTCTGACATAATAGCGCTGCCAACCCAAAGGCACATGATTCAAATCCACCAATGGCTCCTCTGGAGAAAGATGGGCAGTTTCCTCCCATCCTGTTTACTGCCTCTGCAAACCCACTGAAGAGTCAGCTCTGGGTCTGTTCCAAATCATTGGCACATAACAGCAGCAATAACCTTACAAAGGGTTATTGTTTGAGATTTTTCAAATTCCATTCTGCCTTCACTACATTGACTTTGCCTTGTGTTATTTATTGTTCTCTCCTCTCATATTTTAGACTTTGATCCTGCTCTTGGAATGATGACTGGAATTCCACCCATAACTCCAATGATGCCTGGTTTGGGAATAGTACCTCCACCAATTCCGCCAGATATGCCGGTAGCAAAGGAGATCATACACTGTAAAAGCTGCACGCTCTTTCCTCCGAATCCAAGTAATGTACTGCTTTGCTGTTTTGTTGGGCTTTTTATTTTGGGGTTTTGGTTTTTTGTTCTTTCTTTCCACATGTCACAACATTTTGGTGTCTAAGAAAGCTCTCTTCCCTTTCCAGAGAATACTCAAGGGGTTTGTAGATGCATGTCCAGAAACTCCACCTCGCAAAAAAGAAGGGAAAGAAATGTTTTCTCACTAGGCAAGACTGAATTTCACACGCACATCAGTAGATTTTGTGCACTGTTGCCGCGCAGATGAGAAAACATGTTTCTGCTGCCGTCTGGGAAGGCGTTCAAGTGCGTGGGTCCAGAAGGACGCACACAACACAAACTGCTCAGCATAATGCACAGGCATTTGCAGTCTCTCCTTTTCAAAACTGGCCCACATGCTGCTGGTGGCCGACTTGGAGTGTGCTCTGAGCCTGCCCGAGGCCCACGGAACTGTACAGTCAGTGCTGAGACTCTTGCACTGCTTCCAGCTAGTCACAGATCCCTGGAATGACTGCAGTGCGCTGCGATGTGCGTGTCATCACTGTGCGATAACTGACCGTGAGGACAAAGAGAAATTTTAAGACTGAGTCTCGTTACATGCAGCCACCCTGTCAGTGCAGTTCATGTGGAAATGATCTAGGGAATCTGTCTTGTCAGTAATAAATAGGCTTCTCCTTAGGCACTCTTAAAAACATCTAGAAATATATGGTGGCCATAGCTCAGTTAAAATGTAGCCGCAATAATAATTGACTCGAACATTTTCTGGCTCTGTTGGGGTTTCTATTTACTTTAAATGATAAAAAAATAGACTTCTATACATGACCCAAGCCTCATGAAAGCATTTCCCCCCTCCTACTCCACTGGTACTGAACCCTGGTGGCATGATGATGAAACGCTCAGCTGGTAACCAAAAGGTGGGCAGTTTGAGCTTACTCAGCAGCTCCCATGAGAGAGAGGTTTGGCAATCTGCTTGCATTAAGATTAAAACATAAAAATTCAGCGGGGCAATTTCACTCTGTCACTATGGGTTTAAAAGTCAGCTCTGCCACATTTAACAACCAGAGTGGTTCTCGGTGTCAGACCTACAGGAGACACTAACGTACTGCCAAGAGATCAGAGCTGCTTGTTAAGGGACACATTCAAGCATTCAGGCCATGGATCAGATGAGCCTACCTTTTATCAAGGTAAATACAAAACTTTGCCATGTGATTTCACACAAATATTTAATCTCTTACCTTGTGCTATTTCTGTATGTCTCTATGAACAATAAAGTGTCACACTGCTAACCAAAAGGTGAGTGGTTCGAATCTACTAGTTTCTCTGAGGGAGAAAGAGAGACAGTCTTTTCCTCTTAAGAGTTACAGCCTCAGAAACCAAATTGGGGGGGGTTGCTGTGAGTCAGAATCTACTTGAAGGCAGGGAATTTGGTTGGAGGGCCTACTTGCCAGCTTGAGTGGACATGTCACAGATTTGTGTTTAACATCTGGGTGAATTAGGGGCAGAAGACCCTCCACAAGATGCATTGACACCGTAAATGTAGCAGTGGATGCAAGTATGTCACATAGGTGAGGACGACACCAGATAGGACAGGATTCAGATCTGTTGTTTATAGAGTTGCTGTGAGTCACAGTTGATTCGACGACACATAACAGCAACAGCATCATATCCTCATCTCTTAATCTTAGTGCCATTGCCTCTACAAATGAGCAGTGGATCTGCTCCACTCTTCTCTAGCGTGTGGGCTTCTGGGTTAGAGAAAGCTGTGCATTCCCAGCACTACCGTTTTCACGTCCAAAGCCATGAAGTCAGGCATTTCCCATATTAAAACCTCCTGCTTCTTAAAAGGGTAAATCCTGCTGATGTAATCATTCATTTCTCACATCATCTGTCTGCAGTAGGCTTTCATTGTCTCCATCAAGCCTAAGCTAGCAGGATGGCTCACCATATCGAATGTCTAGCTTGGAAATGATAGATGACTTTACAGGATGTTTAGTTCTGCATTTCCAAAGAATACCATAGATGTCCTGAACACACAGGCCACACCACCGAGTGGTCTTTTAAATGAATGTAGAAATAAGTTCTTAAAGAGGCTCTACTTTTTGATAGTTGCCAGTAAAAGAAACAGACAGGTATCTCTCACCTACATTTTCTCTCCCATTACCTGCAGCTGTGCCTTCCAAGCTCTGAGTTGTAAGGGTCGGAGAATAAGAGGGAAACATTCTGCCTCCAAGGCACTATGCTTTAGTTTTTCGTCTTTGTGTTAAGAATGCTGACGGCGGCGCAATTAGTACCAGAAGAGTGGTGGCTTCTGGGAAGAAACCTGGCTTTGGAATTGAATTTAAAAAATAAATAAATAACATTCCTGACACAGCTGAAGGTAAACTGGTGTTCTGTTTCCTTTTCAGAGCTTGGATTTTGTTAAGTGTGTCTGGCTTAATTGGATAGGGAGGGCACAGAGAAGCCTCCTTTAGTTCTGTACTGAAAAGTGTGCCGTTCTGGAATGCTTTGTCCTATCTTGTTAGCAACCCCAAATACTTCACTTTGTGAAGGTGAAATAGGAAGAGTAGGGTAAGGCAAGGGGGACAAGGGCATTCTTTGGCTGATACCTGGCCAGTGCTCAGTGCCCACCAACCTTGTCTGGTTAGGCTTTGATTATAAACTCCAGTACTTATCCTGTCTATCTCAGGTAGTTTCTCTTGGCACTCACTGATCTCTGAAGTTCCTCTCAGTTAATCATGTCCTGCGATTCAAGGGTTTTCATGGTCTCTTTCTGCAACCCAGCCAGTCTACTTCAAGGTCAGCTTTATTAGAAAGTATATCGTTAATAACAACAAAGGGGAAAAAAAGAAAAGAAAGTATATTGTTGGAGAGCTCTGGTGGCCTATTGGCAAGAAGCTGCACTGCAATCCCAGAGGTATACGCTTGGAATCAACCAGATGCTCTTCTGGAGAAGGAGGGACAACCTCCTGTACCAGTCAGACCCGATTTGATGGCACACACACAAAATAATAAAGACTTTTTTTAAAAAAGGATATTGTGTTTTGGTACCGTCAGGTTGGTTCCAGTTCACAGTGACACTGTCTCCAACAAGACGAAACGCATCCCTGTCCCGCAGCTTCCTCACAGTCGGTGCTGTGTCTGGGCCCGTTGTTGCAACCACTGTATCAATCCATCGCATTGTGGGTCTAATTGTTTTTCACCGACACTCACCAAGTGTGACGTTATGTCCAAGGTACATGAGGCAAAGTCTAGCCATCCTCACTTCCAAAGAACATGCAGGCTGTCCTTCCTCCCCGACAGATTTATTTGTTCTTGTAGAAGTCTGTGACACACTCAGCATTCTTCATCAACACCAAAATTTGATGGCAAGCAACTGAAAAGGCACAACTTAGTGTTTAAACTGACATCCTTGAGATGGGGTTGCGGTCAGGACACAGTGGAACCTAGCTGAATGATGGACTGAAGCACGTGAAGCAAACCAATGGAAGGCTTCTGACCTCTGGAGTTCAGCTCCACACTCGCGGGGAAAGGAAACCACAGGAACACTTCAGGGTGGCATGCACGTGTGGCACTAATTTGGATGAAGTATCAGGTGGGAGAGAGAGAAAGGAACTGATGCCAAAGATGCATGAGAAAGGTGGACAATAAATCAGGAAGACCGAAAAAAAAGTGATGCCATTAAATTTTGGTGAGCAATTCTTTTTGCTACAGTGATTCTGTGTATACCACTAATCTTCTTTTGATGCTTCCTGTACCATTAAAGATTTTTCCCATGGAATCTTTCACTATTGCAACTTGAGCAGTTTGTTTTTCAGTTCCTTCAGCTTGAGAAATGCCAAGTGTCTTCTTCCTTTTTTGTTTTCTAACTCCAGATCTTTGCACATTTTTTGTAATACTTTGCTTTGTCTTCTCGAGCAGCCCTTTGAAATATTTTATTCATCTCTCTTATGTCAGCATTACCTCCCCCCGCCCTTGTTTTGACCTCTTTCTGTTCTAATGCAAGTCCCAGAGTCTGTTTGACAACCATTTTGGTCTTTCCTTTCTCCCCTGTGTTTGGAATGACTTTTTGCTTTCTTCCTGGATAATATCCATGATGCCTCAACACAACTCATCTGTCCAGTGCATCAAGTCTTTTCTCAAGGTGGTTTTTCAAGTGAGCTTAAGCATAGCAGAGATTGAAGGATGGCCCAGGGTCAGACAGAATCTGTCCTATGGTACATACACAGTCCCTATGAGTCAGAGCAGCAAGTTATTGTCCTAGAAGCAACATCTCTGACTCAGGAATTGGAGATTTAGCAAAAGAAAGTTCTCTGAAACAAAATTACAGTTTTTTTCTACCAGGGTATTTATTTCCTAATTAATAAAAAAAATGACTAACTTCCCAATTTGCACCTCAGTTGGTGGTGAAAGTAGAGGGTAACACTATCTCCAAAGAAAGCACTTCAAGAGAAATCAGTTTGGCCCAGGTTTTTTACTTCCTTGCTAGACCTTCTGTATGGAGAGGCTACATTTTTTACTGTATTGTGAAATAGCAATAAGTGATGAATATCAAAACCCAAACCTAGCTCATAGACAGAGTAGAACTGCCCCATAGGGTTTCTGAGGTAATTTTGAAGCCTCCTGGGTTGCTCAAACTGACAGCCTGTCACTTAGCAGCCCCACACTTAGTTTTATGAATGCTCAAGCTACGTACTTTCTCTAGTGTTCTTTATAGAACAAGCCAAAATTGGATGTTTCTGTTTTGTCATTGCAAAATCAAGGGGTGGGGGGGGAGGTCTTTTTCAGACTCCTAAAAGCTCTCCTACATGCTCAGACACAAAGAGTAGATGATGTTTCATTTTATCATCACAAAAAAAGCCCAAAACCACAAAGGATTTCCAGTTCCATAAATCTGAAAGTAGACTGCCTCCTTTTTCTCCCATGGAGTGACTAGTGGATTCAAACCACCAACCTTTAAGTTAGCTGCCTAATTCCTTATCCACAGTTACTGCCTAATTCACAAAGCAGGCAG